TCATCATCCCCCAGCATGACACCTGCCTTGAAGTGGTGGTGGTCCGGGTTGCTCTGGACCAGAACCGTGATCTTATTGTGGCGAGTGCCTATATGAGACCACCACCGCAAGTAACGCAATCCTTCAGGCGGTTAGTAAACTGCCTTCCAGCCTCGTCGCCGCTCCTGCTGTGCGGGGATTTCAACATGCATCACCCACAGTGGGAGCCATTCTTGGAGACTTCTCCAAGCGAGGTTGCTGCAGAGTTTTTAGAACTGTGCACGGATGCGGGACTCACCTTGGTTAACACCCCCGGTGAGATCACGTATGCCCGTGGCACAAGAGAACGATCCTGTATCGATCTGACATGGTCAAAGCATCTGACTGTGTCGGATTGGTCAGCTTCCGTGTCGCCGCTTAGCGATCATTACATGCTGACATTTACGCTGCATCAGGCATTTAAGGATACCATACCTTCGGCACCTAAGTTTTTCTACAGTTGGGGGAAGTGCAAGTGGGATTTATTCATCAAGGACCTCGACGCACAACTTCCGGCATATGACTATAAGAAGCAGTCCACCGGCATCAAAGCTTTCACGAGAGCGCTTATTACTTCGTATCGACGACATTGCCCCCGCGGCATGCACAAGGACGGTCCCAGGCTTTGGGACGACACTCTCATGGAGGCAGAGCGGATTGCTGCCGACAGCAAGGCCCGCTATCTGCAGTTACCGACGCCCGACCGTGAGGCAGAAATGCAACGGACAAGGAGTCAATTCTTCCTCCTACTCCGAGAGCGCTCGCGCAACACGTATCTACGCCGCATCAGCAAGTTAAATCCAGGCGAGCCACTCGCATGGAAATACATTTCCGGACGAAAAAAGGCATCACTTCCATCTCCCACATCAATGTTATTAGGAGATGGTCAACACACTTATAAAACAGCAAGGAGAGCAGCGAATGCTCTCAATCGCATCTTTCTTCCATTTCACCCCTCTCACAAGGCAGTTAGGTTTTCCAAAGGCATCAACAGACAGAGTGCATCCTTGAACATTAATGCTTCTTTTCTTTTTGGGCAGCAGAACAACAGCGAGTCTGCCGCTACATTTACTTCAGGCTCTTCACTCTCATCTAGTTCCGAGCCACAGGATAAAAACGAAGCTGCCACCACATCTGGTTTAGTTGCTCATCTTCACTCCCCTCTTGATGCACCTTTTAATCGTACGGAACTGCTTGCTGCGCTACGTAACACGCCGTATGGCAAGGCCCCCGGACCGGATGAAGTCCACAGTGAGGCACTGCGACATATTTCGTCAAAGGGCCTCCGATTCCTTCTTCGTTGCATTAACCACAGCTGGACGACCGGTACGATTCCGGTTGAGTGGAGACGCGCTACCATCGTTCCACTCTTAAAACCCGGTAAGCCGCCGGAACTGCTTGAGTCATATCGACCCATCAGCCTTACCTCCATTGTGAGTAAGGTTGCTGAGAAAATGGTACTGAAGAGATTGCTTTGGGTGTGGACGCCGCACCCCCACCAGTATGCATATCGTAGTATGCGTACCACGACGATGCAGCTGGCACACCTGACACACGAAGTGGAGCATAATAGAAATCACTATTTCCAAGTGAGCCTTCCCAAGAAGAGCGGTATTGGCAATCAACTCCACTACAGACCCCATCGGACTCTGCTGGTGTTGGTCGATTTCAGCAAGGCCTTTGACTCCATAGATCATCGAGTCCTCAGTCGCTTGCTGGCTAATATTCCGGGGGTGAATTGTAGAGGGTGGCTTAGAAACTTTCTATGTGGTCGCTACGCGAAGACACGAGTTGGCCACAGACACAGCGATCGGCGTCCCATGCTGCGAGGAGTTCCTCACGGGTCCGTGCTGGGACCGTATTTGTTCTCCCTTTACGTACACCCACTTCTCAATCTGCTGAACAGCTTTGCGGGTGTCACGGCAGACATGTATGCGGACGACCTCTCTATTATCGTTAAGGGGCAGTCCCGGGAAGACGCCATTCCCACTGCCAACATGGTTCTTCAAAAACTGCATGCGTGGAGTCAGGAAAATGGCCTGGCCATCAACCCGTCAAAGTGTGAAGCTGCCTGGTTCACACTATCCACGCACACGGAGTCAGATTATGATCGCGAAGAAAGGTGGCCCCTGGTAGTGGCTGGATGTCAAATCCCAGTCATGACCATGGGGGCATCGCGAACTACGAAGCTTCTCGGCATGGATCTCGATCCACGACTGACGCTAAATGTGGCGGCCACCAAGCAATGCGCTGCCACTTCGCAACGGATATCGCAGCCACGCTGCATAGCGCACAAAGAGGCGGGACCATCTCCACATGACCTACGCACGTTCGTCATTGGATACGGTGCTCCAAATTACGCTATGGCAGCGAGCTCATATGGGCAGTAGCGACGGATTCAGCGAAGAATGAGATGCAGAAGACGTACGCAACTCTGGCACGCATTGTCAGCGGAGTTCCGAGCACTGTTGACCCGGAATCCGCGCTACTGGAGGCTAATATGCCGCCGCTCCACGTCCTTTGCCTGCGCGCGCGGCTCTCAATATTTGAGAACACACGCGCATGTCAGATGGACTGGATGCGGAGACCCCCGCCTGAGCCACCGCCTCGCGCCGGTTTCCGCATCTCGCCATTATCTCGAGACGAGCTATATGCCTTCGTAGACGCATACACAAAGGACTATGGCATCACCGAGAGCTTACCACGCGAAGAGCGGTTCTTTCGCAGCTCCATTCCTCCCTGGTTTGCGGCCTCCGCTCACCGGGTCACCATCGGTGTGGAGCTTCCGATAGACCACTCAATAACTGACGAAGAGGAGCTGATAAGGGAAAAGCGCAGAGTCAGCGAAGAGGCTTTAGCGCTGCACAGCCATCGTTCGTGGATACTTGCGACCGATGGCGGTGTCGACGTTCCCAAGTCAGCAGGGGTTGGAATACTGCTTTCATCCCCCAATTCATCGGAGATAATAGAAAAGGCCAGCATAAACTGCGGTGCACGCCCATGCAGCTACAGGACGGAATCCCGTGCGCTGCTTCTAGCCCTAGAGAAGCTGATGATTCCTCGTATCCGACACAGGCGTAAAACCCTGCTTGTGGTTACGGACAGTCAGTCTCTTCTAGCGGCTCTAAACAAGGGCCCGCTCAGTCAGACAGACTGGACGGAGGATCGGCTCTGGCAGCGTCTCTTGTCACTGACGCGTGCTGGCTGGTCCGTGCACCTACAGTTTTGTTACGGACATTGCGGAGTACATGCTAACGAGCCTGCAGATCAGTATGCGACGCAGACTATGGAAAGTGGACAATACACGGAGCAAGGAATCGCACCTTTATGGCACACGGATCTGCTGACATGTTTTACTACCCAGCTCACCAACAAGTGGCGTAGTACCATTCGTCAAGACACTCATCGCTACCTGCTTTGCGGCACAAGGCCATCCGATCTCAGCGGTAAGGACCTGATCACTCAGGAAGTTCTACACCGTCAGGAACTGGTTCACCTCGCAAGGGCAAGGTGCGGGGAATCTGAGCTCTGGGGCCGACTATACTGGGCCGTGAGAGATTGCACGAACCAATGCCGATTCTGCAACATCTCACCGGGACAGTCTGCATATATGCGCTCTAACAACGATCCAACTGCACCGGGGACGGACACTGTTCCCCCGTCGGCGAGGGAGGAAGACGTCTCTCCAGTAAGGAGACGGGCCGTCACACGCCGTCGGAAGGAGAAATGTCCGCACTGTAATTCTACATTGACGGGATTCTCGGGTCTCGTCAGTCACTGTCGGTCATTTCATCCGGAACATCCTCCACCGCTTCCCGAGCTCAAATGCGATTTCTGTGACATGGTTTTCCCCACACGGAGAAGCACCGCACAGCACAGAAATCGCTGCGCACACAACCCAGACGCCACACGGCATCGAAACAGCAGTGCCAGGAGGCGATCTCTGCTGCCGCAGGATCAGCCAGCTTCCACAAGCACGCCAATTGACCAGCAGGAAACCTTGCACCATCTGCTTCTAGAATGTCCAGGCACCTTGGCTGTGCGTCAACGGCTGGGCATTGAACAGGACCTTCGCCTCGGAAAGTTCTCTCAATGGCAGTTGCTTCATAGCAGGAAACTTTTTTCGTTGCTCGACCACCTCTTCGGCACTCAGATGGCACTGTATAGCTAGACGCGCTGGTAAGAGTAGGGGAAAAAACTGCTTTGCCCTGCTCAACGACTCGGAATTGACACTGCGAGAGTTAACTGTTGACGGCACTGTGCGTGTGTGCGTGTATTGGGCATTGTTGCTGCTTCTTCTGGGATTGTGTGGAGTTGTGGCGGCCTTGTGAGCCGAAGTGTGTGGAATTGCGGCTCCTCACGGAGAACGTGTGCCGCGTTGCATGCGTGTTTTCTTTTATTATTTACATTTTGCTGTTGGTTTTTCTGTTTTCCTGGAATAATACGTATCGTTGCCGTTCCTTTATTCAATGGTTGGCTGCTGCACACTGCCATGTGTGACGTGTTTCTCCTTTTCTCTTGTTTTTATTTGCTCACACGCCGTGCCGGCCTCATTGCTGTGCGTCCCACGGACTGCACGAAGGGAGGAGTGGAGGAACAGGCCGGATGCCGCAATTAATTGTGAAGAATGTTGTGTGGCCTGTTGGAACAGCATGATATATATTTTTTGGTGAAGTCCATTATTTATACACAACGTCGTGCTTTTATTTTCCTGCATGTAATGTGAAAATAAAGTTTTTCTGGATTGATTTTTCCTTGTTTTTTGGGGACTTCTGCCGGAGCGTCAACTTTCTTTTTCTTTTTTTTTAACCCTTGTTATGCGGGAGGGTGTGTAGGATTTGCAATTGTACTGATTCTCTCTGTCTCATGGTGTGCGGTGGTTGTGTGTGGTGTAGCGGTCGTTTTTTTTTTTTTAATTGCCTTCACTCTGCGTTGACGGGGCGTTAGTTTGTGCTGAAGGCTACACGCAAGTGACAGGAGTGATGGCAATGATGACTGGCCGTGTGCTGCTGGTGTGTGCCCTCTGCGTGCTGTGGTGCGGTGCCGGCGGTGGTTTTGCGGACAAGGTGGTGGAAGCTGCTGCCGGTGTTGTTGCCAGTAACAGAACGGATGAGGAGAATTTGATCTTGAATTGGTATGTTCTGACGCAGGAAGAATGCGCGAATGAAAGCACGACAGGAGGGAAGTTGAATGTGACAGCTGAGAGGATCTGCATGCACAAAGTGATGAAGGGGATTTGTAACGCTTTTTATAATAAAACGTCGGGTGTAACTCATGACCGTGACGCTAAGTTTATTTGTACGTATTACGCTACCATTCCAGAGGAGCCCGTCGAACCCACAACACCGCAAGGGCCAACATCACATTCAGCTGTCAGCAATACCACCAGTGATGATGGGGCGCCGAAGAATGCACCGGAATCCGATGTTGCAGGGAGAGGAGAAGGAAAAGACGATTACAAGGAGCACGGCAATACGAAGCAAAAAGCAGTCGAAACCGCCGCTGTGGAAAATGACACGAAGACTACCGACAGTGACGTCAGCACCGCGGTCTCCCACACAACCTCCCCTCTTTTTCTTCTTGTTGTTGCGTGTGCGGCTGCTGCTGCTGCGGTGGTGCATGGACTATGTGATTGTGTGGGGAGGTGCATTGGGGTGACGAACACTTCTGTTTGGCGTGTCTCGGTGTGTTGGAATGATGTTCGGATGACACGTGAAGGGTGTTGTCTTTAGTTTGTGTGTCTTCTCTGGTGGAGCCGACATGTGTGCGGGGATTGTGGCATTGCTGGCTGACAGCTCCACGTCACTTTTCAGCATTCCTGGATGTGCTGAGGAATGACGGCCGGCGACCAGCGTGTTGGTGCTGCTGGCGGGAATAAGTGCATCGGGAATAGGCCACTTTCTTTCCCATGCTGGAGCCGATGAACTGGCACGAGGGCACCGGCTGCAGGCTGCCTGCCTGCACGTGTGAGCAGCGGATCCATGCACACACCGACGCTCATCGCAAGAGCGTGTGCGATCACGGTGGCCTTTTGTGGCGTGCTTTTTTGGACGTCAGCCCATCGAAGAATGTGTGAAGCAAACGGCTGACTGCACACGAGGAAAATAAGTGCGTGCACTGTGCCGTGTTTCAGCGTCGATGGCAGGGCGACAGGAGGCCCGTGCCGGCAACTGAGATCTTTGCGTCGCGAGGGATGTCGGTGTTGATTTTGGATCGTCGAGGGTGAAGTGATTTTGCTGCTGCCCGTGTGTGTGGCCACTCCGGCAGAGGGCGGACACAAAAGGGAGGGATGCAGGCGCTGCGTGTGTGTGCAGGTGCCATGCAACAGCGTCACAACAAACATGCTGCGACTCGGTGACCCTCACATCGCTGTGGTCCTCACGAGCAGCCGAGGCACGGCCCACACCGATGCACTCAGTGGACGGAGTGAGGCATCTTTTGAGGCGCAGCAGGGAACAGGATGTGTTGACGCAGCCACGACGTGCATGGAGTGTCGCGATGGCACAGTCAGCTGTGGCTGGTGGAATATTTACTTCTCGGAGGCAACGGAGAGAGAGAGAGCTGCTCCTGCTGCTGGCGTCGTTGCTGCCCCTTGTGGCCTCCCATGCCGATTATTGTCTGTCCGCTGATCATGGGTGGTGTGCCTCCACTAGTGACGTCGTCTGCAGGCATTTCACAGCACCAGTGAAACACACATCACGTCGCATGCCTTGGCTGTGGACATGGTGTCGTGAGTGCAGCCGGCATTGTTTTGCCCGACTCCTTTTCACTGCATTGCGACGAATAGACGCGTCTCCGCCCGAGTCATTCACAGCAGCTTCGCGTGTTTTGTACTGCCAGCACAAGACTCTCTTGTTGTCTGACGCCTGGCTGACAGTCAAGCACCACAGCGTTGGGACATGCAAGGATGTGGACTGCCGCTCACGGTGTTGGGCACCGCTGTTTGGATGCGGCGGCCACACGAGCGGATGTATTGTGGCACAATCAAATGCGTGAAGTACGCGGAATCACAGCGGCTGCAATAATATCAGCGGTGTGGCACCACGGAATATGTGAGAGGGTGATGCATGATGAATCACAGTGGGCGGCATGCGAGGGAAGTGCACCGCGACGGAGCGTCATCCCGCCCTCAGCCTGCGTGGGAATGTGCACCCACAAAACATATATGGACGAGGCACCACCAAACACACATGCCCTTCTGTGCACCAATAAATAGGAGCGAAGGTGCGTTCTGGTGTGTGGGAGTCCACTCACATATTTTCATTTTCACCGCAATAAACGGCGAGGAATCAGGTGCCACAGCAGCGAGAGGAAAAACAAACATCTATTGCAACACTTTACCAGCGAAAGGCAGGAACAACACAAACCGAATTATTGGCTGCACCAACACAAGAAACATTCACAAGAGGAAAGAAAACATAATAATTGTGCACCCTGCAGAAATCCCCAACACACGACCCTGGCATGAGGGTTTGCCCTCTGGAAAAAACAAAACGAAACACATGCAGACATCTGCCAACATCCAAACCGAAACACAAATAAATGGTTGCTTGCATTATTCCATTCTCTGCGTTTATTTTTGCGTGTGCGGCTGCTGCGGTGGTGGCCAGGCCTGCATGAAGTGTTGTGTGCGCTGAATTTGGACGAAGGCCAAAAGGCAACTGAACTGTTTTCGTGATGAATATTGGCTGCACCTCCCGTGGACCAACAATCCACGTGGTGTGCGGGGATCATTCTTTTCATTGTTACTTTGCTTTTGTGTTGCTGTGTGCGCTGCGCCTCCTCTTGTGTGTGTGCGTACCCTCCGTGGGGGGTGCCGACACGACGGACCGCTCTCGCCGTATGTGCATGCGGTGGAGCCTTGTGTGCCGCTCCTGTTTGCTTCTCCCTCTTCCATCTGTGTGTTGGTGCTGCGGCAGGGCTGTGTGTGTGTGTGTGTGTTGCCGTGGATTGGAGTGTGTGTCGTGCGTGGTGTGCGGCGTACGGTGCATGCCTGGCTGCTGCCCTCTCCTCATGTGGTGTGCCCTCTGTGTGTGTCTGCCGCACCTCTCGTCTCTCCTGTTGCTCTCCATGTCCCTCACTGTGCAGATCAGCTCCACACCACTGAAGGACCACACTCACGATGATGACGTGCCGTCTGCTGTGCGCCCTGTTGGTGCTCGCCCTGTGCTGCTGCCCGTCAGTGAGCGCGGCAGACACTCAGGAGGCTGTTCAAGAACCTTCGAAGAACACGACGACGAACGGGACAACACAGGCACCGAACAATACGGAGAATACTATACCTAAAGCTGATGTAGACGTTAGTAGTCGTTCTTCTAATTCAGACTCAGGAGTACAGGTGGTAGGTGAGTCGGGGTCGCCAGGCACGGGGCACACTGCGGGACATTCAAATAATAATTCGCCAGGTACACCAGTCTCTACCGGTCCGGAAAACCAATCAAATGAAGTGTCCAATGGACGACAGTCAAAAGTTAAGAACGGTGCGAAAGAGCCACCAAGTCCCGCGGATCCTTCTTCAGAAAAAGCAGATCAGGGAGCCGAAGATGCTGCCGCGACGACCACGACGACCACCACGACACAGGTACCAACCACGACCACCACCACCGCGCCGGAGGCACCAAGTACTACTACGACTACAGAGACGCCAACCGCAACGACCACCCGCGCACCGTCACTTCTTCGTGAAGTCGACAGCAGCCTCAGCAGCTCTGCGTGGGTGTGTGCCCCGCTGCTGCTCGTCGTATCCGCGCTGGCGTACACCGCTGTGGGCTGAAGAGGTGTGTGCGGGCTGTGCGTGCCAGCACTCAACCGCGGGGATTTGTGTGCGTCCACTGTGGTCCATTGTAAGTAGCTAAATACGAGAAAATAATGATTGTGTTTTGCTTCAGTTACTTCTGCTGCTTTGCTGTGTGTTCCACGTTGCTGCTTCCGTCACGTTGAACGCATCCCAGACACACTCATATGCATGGCACGCACACGACTGTTTGCGTGGAATCACATTTGTGGATGGGTGCATGCGCACCAGAGCCATTTGGTGCAGCCCCTTGTTCTTTGTGTGTTTTTACATTTTTAACTTCATTGCTGTTTGTTTACCTGTGTTTTGTTTTTAATTGTTTTGTGTGTTTTCTGCTTACTTGCTGCGGGACGGTGTGTGTTTTTGCACTTTCACTGCTTTCAACTGACTCATGGTATGTGCAAGCTGCCATCATTTTTCACTTTGCGGTGGTTGTGCGTGGTGTAGCGGTCTTGTCTCCCCTTTTGCTTTCCCTCTGCGTTGACGTGTTGTTAGTTTGTGCTGAAGGCTGCACGCAATTGACAGGAGTGATGGCGATGATGACTGGCCGTGTGCTGCTGGTGTGTGCCCTCTGCGTGCTGTGGTGCCTCACTGTTTTTGGAGATGCAAGGGACAACCGCTGCGTTGAGGATGATGGGAACGTATTGACGCACACGCATAATAGAGGAAATGAAGGGCTGCGCCTGAAGGCGGATTTCGGGTTGATTTCTACCCGAATGGGATTAATAAAGGCGGTTGCGGCTGTGGACGGTGGAGATGGAGCTGGTAATGATTCATTGGAAAATAAGGATAAATCACCGCAAGGTGGTGTCTTGGCTGGTACTAAGGACAATGAAGCACCTGGTGCAGGAGGAGTGCAGGGTGCCGCAGGTGATGAAAACGGGCAGTTACCTGCGGCTGGTAGAGAAGGAAATGAAAACAAAGACGTGGATTCCGGCATCAAAGCGGCAACGGACTCCCAAGACAAAACCAACGATCAATTGTCCTCTTCATCTGGCAGCACTCCCAGTCGTTCTGGTGAAAAACCCTCTTCGACGGGTACTTCCGAGATGACTCAATTGCCCAAGGACACGGTGACGAAATTAGATGCCGATCTTCAGGATAAACGTGAAAGTAGTGAAGGGATAAAGGCAGAAGAAACAGAAGAGGAGGAAAGACAAAAAATTAAAGCACACACCGGGTCTAGCGAAAGTAAAAATAATGGAGGAGAAACAACACCGCCACCACTAACATCATCAGATGAAGAAAGCCCGATATCAGATCAAGAAAACTCACAGAATTCAAAAAAAGTAAAGAACGAAGCCACGCTGTCAGAATCCAAAACGGCGTCAGAAGCACCGGCACCACCATCAAAGGATGCTACACAAGGGCAGCACAGTCATGACACAGACACAGAGGATCCGACGAAGAATGCAGCAGCCGGCAGTCCAGTTGAACCAACGACCTCATCTACCTCTGCGAGTGGCAGCGGTGATCATGTACAGAATAAGGCAGATGAGGATGATACTCAAAGCCATGAAGGACAACACGACAGCCTTGAAACTGGCAATAACAACGTTGTTCCAACACTCAGTGGAACAGCGTCACAAATGCCAGAAACAGCCACCGCCACCCAAACAAATGATACGACGACGCATGGCGACAGTGACGGCAGCACCGCGGTCTCCCACACCACCTCCCCTCTTTTGCTTCTTCTTGTTGTTGCGTGTGCGGCTGCTGCTGCGGTGGTGGCCGCGTGAGAGTGAGTGAGAGAGAGCCGTGCACCGCCCGCACACACACTCTTCCTTCTCTCTCTGTGTGTGTCCCCTTGCATGGACTCTCGCCCCCACCTCACCCCACGAGGCACACACATAATGTGCCCATTGTATATATGCATGCACACCCATGCAGGCCCGTTGGTGCTCTCTTTTGCACGACACGCACCGCTGCCGTCCTGCCTGGCTGCATGGGCGGAGCACCGTAGCATGTTTTTTTCTTTTTGTAAATTTAATTCCTTTTTCCTTTTTTGTTATGAATTTGTGCGTTTTTTTTTTAAACCCCTCTCATCCCCCATCCTTCTTTTTTTGCTTTTGGGGCAATCACTATGGACGTTTTTCTTTTCTACTCTTCCCTCTTTAATTGTTTGTTGCTGCACTCTTCCTGTGAGGGGTGCCGTGTGTTTCCCGCCCAACTGCTCCACTCGCACAACCACCGACACGCTCATGACGACGGCCCTGTGCGCCTCGCCTGCTGCACGCATGAGGAGGGGCCGCGACGAACGGCGCGCTGAGGGAGCCGTGACGTGTGGGCGTGCGACGAGGGCCTGTGGGGCGGAGCACACATTTCTTCCCTCTTGTTTTGTTTTCTTTGCGGCCAGGGCGGGCAGACACCCGCAGCGCCACACACACAGCCACACCCTGCCGCCGTGTTTTTTGTTTTCTTTTCTTTTTTTGCTTTGTGGATGTTTGCTGCCACCGTGCGTGATTGTTGAGGTTGGGGTCTTACCGCATTTATTCCTGCGATCCAGCTGTTCCTGTTTCTCTGTTGATGTGCCTCCCTGTGCTCCTCTTTCTGCTTTTCCAGCACACAGAAAATAAGTGTTTGCACAGTGCTCTGCTGGAATGCTCTTGGCGACAGCGGGACGTTGGCTTGCGTCCCGTGCTGAAATGGCAACACGGCCGCACGATGCCCGCCATGCGTGAAGTTGCCTGCTCTTGGGGCATTCTTCTCTCCTTGTTTTTTTTGCACTGCCGGTTGCGGGCGTTGCTCGGTGTGTGCTGGCGCGTGACGGATGGTGCCACGATGGCCTCCTCTGACGATGACAGTCGCTGTGCTCTCGGCACACACCCACACACTCTTCCTTGTCTCTCTGTGTGAGTGATTGCGGCAGGGCATTGCTGCGAGCGTGACGGGGACCACGACGGCGTCACCCCTCGAGAAGGCCCCACGCTCTGTTGGTTGTGGAGCGGCGAGGCGGTTTGCCTGCAGCCCGACCGACAGAACCGCACAGTCGCTTCATTGCGGTCACTCCGTCGGCATCACCCGCTGCGGTGGTGTCCGCAAGAGCCGCAGCCCCGATGAGGATGGCCTCGTAGTTATTTAGCAGCTCAGAACTTCAGGCCCCTCGCCCCTCAGGATTGCCCTTGCTGCTCGACTGGCGCAGCACCATCCCGGCATCGTTCTTCTGCAGGAGTGCAGGCACCAGAGTGCCCCAGCGACGAGGCTCATTAGCTGCGGTGACTTCCACCAGACCTGCAGTGGGCGTGCCGGTGGTGTGGCCTTCTTGGTGCGCCACACATTGCCGTGCGAGCGCCTTTAGCTCGTGGCACCAACTGCGTGGAGACCACCGCCTTCCGCGTGTGCCCACCGGCCTGCCCCAGCATGTACGTGGTGAACCTCTGCAGCCTTCCCACGGCAATTGCTCACACTCTCACTTTGCGAGCACCATTCGCCGTTTATGTCCTGCAGCGGTTATTTGCGACCTGAATTCACACCATGAACTGCGTGACGGTCGCTCACCATCCACGACGGCAGGAGAGGACCTCGCCGTCACCCCAAGCAACATGGACTCTGAGTTTTCCGACGACTCGGCACAGGCAATGTGGATCAGCGGCCGCAGCGTCTCGGTTCCCGACGTGACTGCGCAACGCGTACTGCGTGTCTCCCACTGGACGTCCACCCGTTTACATGGACTCGGACCACCATCTGCCATCCCACACTGCAGGGACGGAGGACGGCATCCCGCGACAGGCAGGCATGCTGCCACGACGAAAACATGCCTCCATTTTCCTACATGAAGCTGACTGTGATTCTTTCACCTCGGCGTGTGGAACACCTCTGGCCACTGTAATCACATGGTTGGAGATGCACCGAGGCACCGCACGAGCGGCAGCCGTGACATTCCCACATGAATCTGTACGGACGGAATGGAGCAGGCCGAGTGTGTTGCAGCGGCAGCCTGCCACGAGCTGAAGTGCTCCGCAAACGGGAGGACTGCAATCATGCCCTCCGCGGTGGCTTCTCCATGCTGCTAGAGGTCCGTGCGAAACAGCTTGGTGCCCTCCCGATCCCAGGCCTGTGATGCCTCGAGGCATGGCGGCGCCACGTCCCTGCCCTCTGGGATCGGCTGTGCTGCGGTGCTGTTGGGACCGCGTCTGTGCTCTGCCTCCGCCGCAAACTCTTCCCGACGTGAGCACCGCCACTCCTTGCCGACCAGCAAGCGGCTGATTGACGTCCTCCTGCCCACTCCTCGGCATACCGGCACGCACCCTGCAGATCACAAGCAACCCTCTGTGTTGGTGGTGCCGCTCCTCCTCTCACTGAAGAGGCAGGACCGCCCCGACCTCCTCCGGAACCTCCACCTGGCGTGTCCACGGCACCTCCTCGTAGAATTACGAGCAGCGGATCAACGTCGCCCTGCCCAATCTGCGGCAGCGTCTTCTCGTCCGTCCACAATATGAAGGCACACGCCCGACGCACCAACCCTGGCACTCCAATCGTTGCAGAAGGCCTCAAATGTGGATTCTGCGACAGCTCCACGGTCTCCCCAACAAGTGCCTCACGCGCAGGTCACTACCGAAAATGTCAGGCGTATCAACGAGCAAAAGACGAACAACGCACCTCTGCAAGCTCCAATGACAGCCGTAGCCCTTCAGCCACTCCTCTGCTGCAACCCCCACCAGCCGCTGAGCCCCGACAATACACGGGAGGCCCTGCCGCACACGCTGTGGGAATGCCCCCGTCCTCGACAACTGAGCATCCGACTATTTGGAACACCCTCTCGCACGACAGCACCGTTCAAGACGGAAAAACTGGCCACATCGCTACGGACAGCCCGCAGGCCATTAACGAACAGTGGCTGCAAAGTATAACGAAACAAATACTTCCCGTTTCTCAGCATAGAAAAACGTCACCTTCACACTCGCAATTGCCGTCAATGAATTCATTGCGTAATACCGCTCTGAGCTGCAATACTTCCTGGTGCCATCCACGTCCCTTGC